GAGTTTAGACTATGGATCATATGAGTTATAGTCGAGGGCCGCCATATTTACTTCAAAGTGTCGTTGCTGGAAATATGGCGAGGTGGACGGCATCAACGAGCTCTACCAGGGAGAAGTTGCCGACGTTGAGCGCAAGTTTCAGGCTAGAGCGTAGGGAGTGTACTTCGCGGGACCCCGGGGTCACAAAGGGGTTTGGGAATCTACTTATCAAGTGCTGCAACAAGGTTACTATTGGATTCTCAAGCGGACGCCCAACTCTAAAGTGTGTCGGGTGTGGGGGTTTACATTTCATGTAACGAGTATGAAAGCCCACGTAGCCGCCTTCCCAAAGACAGTAGTCTTTGTAGTAGGGTTTAGGGTTTAGGGAGCTTTGGGGTTCCATAGCACAGGGGGTCTGATCGTGAGGAGTGTATGGGTTTCGGGGTGCAGGATTTTTGTGGCTTTTGCTTGCAGGCTCCGGGTTTTGCATTTTGGTGGTTAGTAGAGCTTTTCCCTTAAAGTCCTGGACAAGTCAAGAGTGTCCAACTCGCAGCCGCAGTAAAGCTTCGCTGTAGGCTCATGTCTCTCGGAAAGGAAGGAAGCCGTAGATCACTAGTTGCTCTCCCTCTGCGAAAACCCCACCCGGAACGGAGCAAACAATCGCAGCTATTTCGTGCCATGACGTGGAGATCTGGCGCCGGAAAAGAAGAGGAGAAGCCTCAAAACGGCAAATGATCAGTCACCTTGAGGAACCACCCTATGGCCTAATGACCCTATTACAAGTACTATAGTACCCACGCTAAACTCTACCTGCAACCCCAATCGCCTACAGTTTAGTGGGTTATACCGTTGTACCTATTCATTCGGGGTTACTACTATATGAGCTATAGTCTAANNGGGGGTTATATAGGGGGTTATCATAGGGTTATTGGGGGCGATAGTAGGAGTTTAGACAGTGGCTCAGATTAAGCTGTAGGAAATTAGGGTTATTGTACAGGTCATCACGCTAAACTGAGAGAGGCCAGGGGCAAGAGCCGCTGCGAGAACTCACAAAGCGACCTTACCCAGAGGGTCCAAGTACCCAATATAGGTCCCTTTAAAGAGGACATATAGGGATATATAGGGATATTTAGGGTTTGAGGGTCCAAGTATCCAATAATTAGGTACTTGGGTTTTGGGTAATAGTAATTATAGCACAGGTTTTGGGTAAGTATATTTATTAGGTACTTGGACCCTTAGGGTTATGGTCTCAAAAGCTAGCCACTAGTTGCAGAACCCTGGAAACCTTACTGGTGCATAAGGGAGACGAAGTAAATGCACATAGCGTCATAGGGATTTAATCGGTATAATATGTGGGGAGGAGAAAGGGAAAGTTCTATTATTCCCATTATTAGTGCTATATAGGGATCTACTGCCCTGCTCCCCTTAAATCCACCATTAGGGCTTAAAAGTTGAGGATATGGAATTCCGGGCTTACATATAGGACCCTGAGGTCCAAGTACCTAATAATCATATACTTACCCAAAACCTGTACTATAATTATTATTACCTAAAACCCAAGTACCTAAATATTAGGTACTTGGACCCTCCGGTTTAGGTTTTAAGGGTTCCTAGGTTCCTAAATCCTACCTGCACCCACCAAAACCTACTTTAAAGCAGGTTTGCCTAGCAACTGGCTTTTCAACAAGAAAACCTGGTTTTTGGGAAGGCAAGCAAAGCCAAATTTTCCACAAAGCTTTTAATGAGTCTCGTATTTTATGTTTATAACGGGCTTCGCACGGGTTGATTACAGGATTTGTACGTGCTGGAAATCGGACACCTGGTTCTGCTTTCGGAAGCCAGGTTTTTGCGCAACAAATGCTCAAGCACCTGGGTCGGGAGACTTAGGTAGCTTTTGTTTACAGACTTCTAGCCCACATAAGCCCCATCATGGCTCAGCTATCCTGACGACTACCTTGCTCAATTGGTCCCCCGGCCCTTGAACTGGGAATTCCGGTATCGTCTACGAGGTTAGGATGTCCACAGCTCCGCTAGGTAGGCAGATCACGAAATTTGATGGGTTGCGGGCGCTGCAGGTCATGCACAATTTGCTTCATCAACACTAGTCCAACCTGTAACTGTAAAACCATGTCATGCAGAAGCCTGAAAAACACGAAATCAGGCGCATTGTCACCTAAGAACCTTTCTACGGACAATGTTTGCAAGTGCAGTGTTGAAGCCTATGGCAAGGCAGCGATTGGCATTGACGACAAGAAGCGCCTGGTAAGGCCCGGCCGGGGATTTCTACCGATATTTGCCACCAGTTTCTTTTTTATAATGGGCGGCGGGCGAGGGTTCGTTATTACGGGAGGTGAATTTCCATTCGCCATGGAGTTCGCCCATCACATGCATGATCCAACGTGTGGGCTTGCATGCTTAATTAGGCCCAAGACCATTAAAACTGGGTCGCCGTTGAAAGTAAACTTGGCATTTTATCAGATTAAACCTTGAGGGAATCCAAAACTATAGTTTTCATAGTATCCCCGTCAGGAACCAGAAGCCGCAACCCAAACAGCGCCGAAGGCAGCTGAAGCCCTTCCAGCTGCTTTTCGGTACATCGGCCGTTGAATCCAGTCGGAGCCCTTGTAGGGTTTAGGGTGTTAGGTTTAGGTTTGATGCAATGTCGAGCCCATTGGGGTTAGTTAGCCTACGGGTTTTGGAGGGGTTGAGAGTAGAGGCTCTTGGCATAAATTGAACCCTAAGGGTCCAAGTACCTAATAATCATATACTTACCCAAAACCTGTACTATAGTTACTATTACCCGAAACCCAGGTACCTAATTATTGGGTACTTGGACCCTCTCGGAATTTTTAGAGGGTTTGGGGCTTTAGGTTCAGGGTTGTTGAGGGCTTCAGAGGTGAAGGTGTTTGGTTTTTAGGGGCTTACCCTAAACCCTAAACCCCAAATCCCATACCTACAGCCCTAAGCCCTTCTCTCCTGTTTCCTACCCATGTGTAGAGGCCCCTTTTGCAAGGATTTATCAAGGCAGCCTCGTGGTCCCCATGTTTGTTTGGAGGCTGGATTGCTGTCAAGGAACTGGATTTTACAAAGCGGGTCACTGTGAGAGTGCGCTTTTTTCGCATTTTCTAGCACATTCAGTATGATTTTGAAATGATTTAACGGAAAGGATATACTAACTAGTGATTTCTGATTTTAAGTAACCATGATGGGTATGGGGTTTCGGGTTTTGGGCTTAGGGGCTAGGGATTAAGGAACTTAATTTAAGTTACTATTTTTGGGGAACCAGATTATTTGTGAGATATACCCATTATGGTAACTTCATTTAAGCTTCTTAACTGCAACCCAGGAGGAGTGTTGAGAGGTTAAAGTTTAGATGCTAGGGCATAGGACTTGCGAGCAGCTGCCTTCAGAGCCATCTGGAAGGTCACCTCGCCAGTCCAAGCTAATATGCTAGAATATATTGAAATATATTAGAATATATATCATAATCTATTATGATGTGCCATAATATGCTAGTTTTGCAAGCGGCGCGCGAATTTCACAGAGCCCTGTGTGTTGGCCCTGGGCCGAGGGCTCGAGGACTCTTGCTGTGGAAATGTAAGATTCCCGGCTTGCACGGTATAACTTTACTGAGCGGTCCTTGCATGTGTCAGAAACATGTAGCGTCATGAGAGAGGGAAGAAGGTAAACTTTGGCGGGCAGAAGGACCTAAACCCGAAACCCTAAATCGTAGTTCCCATTTTATTTTCCTTAATCCCAATATATATCTGAGAGACAAAGCTGAGGATTGTTTGCCGTCAGCCGTAGGGCTCGGCCTAAAGCTTCTCTGTCTGCCGCGCCACAGATCACCTACAGGCTTCAGACCCTTAATAGTATAATTTGGGGTTCTACAGGGGTTTTATTGGGATAATGGAAAATAAAACGGAGACTACTATCTTATAATAGAGGGTTATACTAAGGTCCTGAAGCAAGAACAGACACTTAAGGTCTGAAGCGAATACATCAGAGAGGTCTGAGGGTAAGGGGGACAACAGCAATTGTAGCTGGGGATTTTGACCATCCCGACGCAAGGTGCATTCTCTTCTGTTTGAATGGAACTTTCCCATGAGATGTTCTGACAAACCCCTAAGACTTCCCTTGAACAGAGCCCCTGTGTTGACCCGCCTCTTACAGCAAACCCCAAGCCCTAAACCCAAAGGCCCCACCGTTGTCTACCTAGCCTTGTCGAATCCGGGCTACCTGCCAATCCGGCCAGGGCCCCAGCGAGGCATTAGTTTTAGGGTTTAGGGCTATGGTTTTGGTAATTCGAATCACCTACAGCTTAGTAGTAACTACCGCTTAATTAATAGGTAGAACCCATAAAGCTGCATGTGCTTGGTGCTGAAGGTCCCTCCTCTGGCTACTATGAAGAAGAAGTAGTAGTGGTGGTGCTAGTGGTGGTAGCAGCAGGTAGCAGCAGCAGGTAGCAGCAGCAGGAGCAGTAGCAGCAGCAGCAGCAGCAGCAGCAGCAGCAGTAGGAAGAGTTTTGACAACAGTCATACGGCTCCTATTTCTGCTACTGCCTCTAAATATATGCATATATATGTATATACTTGCTATCACTTTGAATGTTTTGAATTAAAAAGGCCCCATGAATTGTTGATGTATTCCCATCCAGATACTGCTTACGAGCATTGTTCCGCACCAGAGTGCCACAGAAAACGGAAGCCTGACTCGTCTGTGCATGTCATTACATGGCTCGAGTCCCATAATGCCATACGAGGATCTTGGGCGACACCCCTTGCCCCTAACCCTCGCTCCACATGACGCACTTTCTGACGGCACTTGCTGCCCTGGCTGTGGCTCCGGCTACCGGGCTGGAAGCTGATGCCTTGGGCTGTCAGGATTCTGGGTTGCTGTTCAGGAACTTAAATTAAGTTACTATATTGGGGAGACCCTATTATTTACTATACATACCCATTATGGTAACTTTGTTTAAGTTCTTTAACAGCAACCCAGGATACCTCCAGCTGTCACCAGGGAACTTCCTTGTTGCAGCACGGATCTCGCAAAGTCGCATCGTCCATCAACCGCCACGGTGCCGTCAGCAACATGTCTTTGGACCCTGCGAAGTTTCGCCACTTTATAGAGAGCAACTTGAACTTTGACACGAACATGCGCTTGTGTTCTCTTTGTGGCGTGCCCTCTGAAGAGCGCGCGCCCAACGGCACCTTCATACAGCGTACCGACTGTGGCAACCACAGCATCTTCGAACACCCGGACATGGCATTTCGCCCCTTGAGCAGCTTCATGAAAGAAGCCACAGAAGAGCATAACGAAACCAATGCCTGGTGCGAGTTTAACATGGAGAAGGGCTGCGCTGATGCTGTGTACAATCAGGACTACATGATGTTTGCCAAGAGCATTGAACTTCTGTCCATGCCGCTTCTCGGCTACGCGCAGGCCTCGTTCGACCAGCATTACTGCTACTACAATGGCTGGCTGGAGCCTGAGATCAAGGCATTGCAGCATGACTACCACGGCATGACTGCCAAGGGCAAGGAGCAGTGTAATTCAGATCACCTCGTCAAACTCGGCTCGAAGGGCAACATGACCTTGATGGACATGTGGCTGCACTACTATCCGCACTTTCCGAGCGTGCCTGGCAGCCGCCCATCCATCGCCGACGCGCAGTTCATCGCAGCATGGACCTGTGCCATGGGCACCTCGGCCTGCGACATGGCATACTGCGCCTACTCCTTTTGCGTGAAGGAGGACGGCAGCTTGGGTGCCTACTCTGAGTGTCCAGGCTGGGACCCTGTGAAGGGCATGCCTGTGCATCCCTGATGTCCTTCGGAGCAAAAGTGCAGCCATAGTGCGGACGTGCATTGCGGGTGGGCTCTGAGAAGAAAGTAGCGGAGCACCTTCGTGTTCATGCTCTTACAGCCCAAATATGGAATCAGCACCAGAGAGTATCCTGTTTCATGGTATTTGCTTGTGGCGCTGCGAGAGACAGAGCCAGCGCTGTGACAAAGCAGGAGCTTCGATGGGAGGTGTTGTAAACTAGTCATGCGGATATCCGCAGTTTGGGCATAACGTGCTTTAGGCTCTTTGGCTCAGATTCGTTGGTTTCGGCACTTGAGGGCCCACCCTTTCCTAGACCCCAAACACTAACCCCTAAACCAGGCTATGATACCCCAATAATGGAGAATCAAATGGAAAAGAACATGGAAAATGAAATGGAAACTGGGATTCTATAGGGGTTATTTGAGTAGTGTTTTATATGTAACCCGCAGTCCAGAAACACCAAACCCAAGACTCAATCATTGGATTGACGTGCTGGACGTCCTGATGATGTAAGTCGCCTCTACACCTCAAGCTTTGGCATGATTCTAGCCCAAGGTATCCCCGTAGTTGGGCTCTTTTGGTCAATTCAGGTTAATGAATTCCGTGTGAATGTAAAGGCGGGGAGGGTAAGAACAGGAGCGGGTGTTTAGGGAATCCATTCGTTTCACATTCTCGACGATGACAGTATTCAGGACCCTTTGCTAGAATATTGGTAACTGTGCCCTAGCCCGCCAAAACGCGAGGCCTTTGGGTTTAAGGCCCCAAACATCCGAAATCCCAAAACATCTAAGTTCCCCTCTGCCCCTCAACGCCAAACCCACCACTTGAAGGCCTTCCCGACTTAGCAAGTCTAGCTAATATCCAAATAGCTGTCATGAGCACTGCTGCCCTATCCACCGTTACTAGGTAAACTTACGAAGCCAACAGAGCCTTCAAGTAAGCCCTAGACCCAACTCTGGCTACAAAGCGTGTCACGCTCTCATATGAACCCTGGCAACCCTGAATTGAAAAGGGCAGGTTTAGGGCTTAGGGTTTAGGGTTCAAAGTTTGGGGTTCCGGATCTAGCATAGTTTAGGGTTTAGGGTATAGTCTGCGGTCTAGTGTTTCTAAGTACGAGACAACAATCCCAAGCTACGTCACCTCAAATGGTGCCTGATGTAAAGAATAGTCCCCCAACTAATGTGTTTAAGACTTGGGAACTGTTGAATTTGTGCGATGGAGTTTCTCATCTCTGTGACACCCGTAAATCAACATCAGTTCCCTGTATTTCGGTTCAGTTCAAGTACGGGTCCTTCTAGTCCCGTTCCCAGTACAATTCAAGTCGCTACATAGGCTTCCTCCAATTTGGGGAACAATGATATCCAATCACACTTGTGCTTTTTTAGCATCATTGTGACCCAATTCCGTCTTAAAAAGGTGAAGCCGCACCCTATTCCCAAAATCCCGAATGCTGGAGCGTGAAACGTCGGATACATAAAATCCTGCATGTCCCTAAGTATTGCATACTTTGGGAAATATGGTACGACAATATTTGGGGGTTTCCCAAAATTAGGGATCCCTTTATGGGGTTCCCCATAAAAAGGACTATGGCATTTTGAGGTCTATATTGGGATCCCCCTATTTTGGGAAACTACCTTTGTAAGCTCAGTCCATGCAGAGTTCTTAGCATCAGCAGAATGAGGTTTTCCTTTCAGACGCCAGACAACCTGAATCTGGAGAACGTCCCTTATTGGTGCGCCTTTTCGGACGGCTTAGGGTTCAGCGTTTAGGGTTTTAGTGTTTCGGGCTCAGGGTGAAGTTTAGTTTTCTTCGAAATTCGGATTGCTGGTAATGATGCGGGAGTTTGTTTGAACATACTCCAGGGGCCAAAATAATGACCAATGTTATGGTTTTGGACTTCTTGTACAAGTATGGCATTGTCTGTCTGAGTATCTCAGATAGACCTCAAAGTGATATCGGTGATTAAAGAGGGCCTGTTGTTGCACCTGCATACCCATGGCGCCCATGACTGTTTGCTTAGATTAAGGAATTTTGAATCATATTGCTTAGCTGGAACCCCCACCCAGCAATAACGACTGTAAGGGATTCTAGGGATAATAATTAGCATTCCTATTGGACCACTATTACAGGGCGGGGGTCCTTGTAATCCTAAACCCTAGACCCTAAACCCTAAACTCTAAACCCTTAATAAAACCCTAAACCCTATAAATCATATTGCAGATTCTGGTCTGGTTTCGGGTATGTAGTCTTGAGTCAGGTCCGCAAGGGGCCCTGGAGGGTCAAAGTACCCAAACGGTTGGGCTTAACGTCCCACATACCAAAGGGTTCATGGTTTAGGGTTCAGGGTTTAGGGTTTAGACCCCTAAACCCTAAACCCTAAACCCTACACCGCGTGCTTTGGGCGCCTAAAGCTCCAATGTTTGGGTATCTGGACCCTTAAGGAGTTACCTTCAGGTGCAAGAAGCCAGCGACTAACTCTCGAGTTGCTCAAGTCAATGTCTACTGTATTGCGTTTAGGGTTTAGGGTTTAGGGTTTATTTAGTCACTAAACCTAGTGAAGGAAGGTTACATGGGTGGCTGTCAAAATTATGGTCCCTTTTGGGATCCCTATTATGATACGGCACCTAATATTTAGGGTACCCAAAAAGGGACCATGATTTTGACAACCACCCATCTAGTCACTAAACCAAGTGAAGGAAGGTTACAGGCATTCTTCACATTTTCCCGATAAGTTTTGGGTACCATTGTTTTGACAAAGCACTTCTCCCTTGTCCTTGGACGTTACATTTGACATGAAGCGTTCGCCAAAATCTGAACGTCTGGATATTTTGCCGGCCCCTGCCATGGTTCGATAAAGTAGTCCTAGAGGTGCTTCCCCAACCTGTGAATAGGTTAGGTCCTGCCCCCACCCAGCAACAGTTTGGATAATATTTGTATTATGGTCAACTATAGCCCTTAATATTACCCTTATTATAGGCTGTTACTGGGTGGGGGCAGGACCCAATAAATAGGTGTGAGCGAGATGAGGTTTATAGTCGATCATGCTGCTCATGGGTTTGCAGGGACCATTGTTATTGTGTCGCGTATGCCCCCCCCATATCAGCTTTTTGTATGAAGCCCTGTAAGCCGCGCATGGGTAGTTGATCTAAACATCCTGCTAATTCTAAACCCTATATACCCTGTTATGATATAGTAATATGGTAGTTTCCATTTTCCCATTATCCCAATAGCCCCAGTATATACCCTATAATCCCTATATAGCCCCTATAACCCCTGTAAACCCTAAACCCTAACCCTAAACCCTAAGCCCCCTAAACCCTAAGCCCCCTAAACCCTAAACCCTTAAACCCTAAGCCCCATAAACCCTAAGCCCCCTAAACCCTAAACCCTTAAACCCTAAGCCCCATAAACCCTAATCCCCGCCAGGTGTGATGAGAAAGCCTTGGTGGATGAGAGAGAAGCCCACTTCAGCTGGGCCCGGAGCTCAGGGCTCAAAAAAAAACCCTCAGGGTTTAGGGTCTGGGTTTAGGGTTTAAGGTTTATGGGGTTTAAGTTTTAGGGTTTATAGGGTTTAAGGTTAAGGGTTTTGGGTTTAGGGTTTAGGGTTGTAGGGGTTAGGCAAAACTCTCAGGCGAGGATCTCCCACGTGAATCCTCAGGAATCTTTGCCCGGAAAGCCGATATTTATGTGATCTCTCCCTCGGGCTCCAGTTACTTAAATAATGGGAACTGGGTTCTATGTACCCTAAACCCTAAACCCCAAACCCTAAACCCAAAACTATTTAGGTAACTGGGAGCCCTGGGGTTTCGGAGTACTGAATACAGAGCTTTCACAGTCCAGGGGCAGCTCCGGCTGCTGCCATATTATGGGATTTCAGGTTTTAGGGTTTAGGGAATTTCATGAATCTTCGGGGCTCATATCTGTACCTTAGTATACCGGGTGACCGGTTACTTTCTCAGGCAGAAGCGGCCGCCTCAAACCCCCAAAGTCCCCAAAGTGTGGCAGTCTTAATATGCAGACCCACTCCTATAACAGCCTTTGCCCAGGGAGGCCTGTAGAAGTTGTTTGCGAAGTAGCAGTAAACGGAGGGCTGCAAGACGGTTATCACTCACTCCTCTGGTGTCCAAACAGCTCACAGCAGGTGAGTAGTGTTTTATTTGGGGATACTATGGTACCCATTATAGAGTAAGATCCTATCCTCCTTTTGGGGTATAGTATTTTAAATAAGGAATATAATCTTACTAGGTTTAACCACCAAAAAACGCTATTCAGGCATCGATCATTTAAAGACTCCAGGGCTCAACGCCTCATGATGCCCCAAACCCTAATTAATCTTTATTATATGCCCTAATTGAACCGTATATAACTTTATATTTCTAATCCCATATGAGCTATAGTCTAAACTCCTAGTATCCCCCTTAGTAAGCCCTAGAACAGAACCCAAGACACTCCCCTATATACCGCCGCCTTTACGGAGTTTAGACTATAGCTCATATATTTGTCAGGGTCGTCAATCTGTGATCGAAGCACACAAAGAGCCTAAACAGTGTGCTCGAAGATGAAGGGCATCTGGTCACAGCGGCCGCACCCTTTAGGGCTGAGGGGTTTTGGGGTTTAGGGATTAATGTTTGCGGGTTCAGGGGTTTAGGGTTTAGGGGCTAGGATTTCAGGGATACAGGTTTAGGAATCAGGTTTGTTTAGAGGTTGATGTGACTTAGTACCTGCAGATAGCTGCGCTCCTTACCTTACGTATAGGCCCCCGGGAATAGAAGTTCTTGCATAAGAACTTAGATGTTCCATCAACCTTCAAGCAGCCCCTGAAGCCTGCATAAGCGTCACGGAACGCAAATTACCTAGCCAGAAGAGCACAAAATTACGCAAGGATAAAGCACTAGATTCCCGAGACCCCTAAACAATCCTTAGTGGAATCCCAAGGATACCCATGTGGTATATATATATATATATAGTCCAACCCCCGCATTATCCCCATGGACCCCACC